GATATATATTGTTTTACTGATTTACTGTTTGACCGCCCGACCTCCATGAAAGCTGACTTTGTCCCTCTTTGAATACTGTTGTGTTTTCAGCATCTTCAGCAGTGTATAATACACAATATGCTCTCAATAACTGCTAGTAGGGGGGAAAAAAGACTAAATGGATGACTGTATAAATATATGCACCAGTTCACTAAATGGAAAAGTTAGAATGATTAAGGTAGAGAATGGGGAATGACAAGAACATGTATATGGAACAAGGCCCACGCAAGGATTTAAAAATCCTGGAAAGAGGGCGGGGGAGATAGCTCAGTGGAATAAATGCTTCCCTGGCAAGCACAAGGTTCTTAGTTTGAGCCCTAGTACCACCACCAAAAAAAAAAAAAAAAAGGCAATCAATCAATCCTGGATTTTACTCTGAAGATAACTAGCCTATACATTCCTCCAGACCCAAAACAGGATTTCAGTACCACCAGAAAAGCCTGGAAACTGAGAAAGGAGTTATCTCCTGAAATGCCTTTTGGTCTGAGTTGTCAGTTCTGAGATCTAGAATTACAAACAGGAATGCCTTGCTTAATGCTTTAGTCTATTAGAGAGGATAAGGCATCTTCAACTAAGTTAAGCCCAGTGGGAATCAAAACAGTCCAGAGGCCGGCAAGTGGCAGAATACAGAACATGGGAGAAAAGTGATGATAGACAGAGGAGACAGAGCACAGGCTGAGTGTCCCCAACAACACATGGGGTAGAGGAGGGTCTCATTCATGGGATGTAAAGCCTGTGCAGAAAACAAAGGCAGGGGCTGGAGAGATGGCTCAGTGGTCTAAAGCACCTACTTGGAACAAGCTTGGCAAAGCACAGGGACCGCGGTTCAATCCCCCAGCACCACATGCCAGCCAGCCGTGCCCCCTGGTGGGCTGAGCTGGCCACACACACACATACACACACACACATACACACACACACACAATAAATAAATAAATGCTAAAAAAAAAATTAAAAAAAAGAAAAAAACAAAAAAGAAAACAAAGGCAAAGGCAGGACATACAGAGAGGGACCTCAGCTCTACTCCTGCCTGAGGAATTCAGCAGTAAGAGCCTGGAGGAGACAGGCACTGAACAGAAGCAGGCTGCAGGCTAAGAGATGGTTCTGTGAAGAGCCTGGGGTGCTGAACCACAGCTCACGTTGTTATGAGATAAGCAAGCTTGCCAGGGACAAGATGCAGTATGTTCACAGGAGACTCATGTTCAATGAGATCCAGAGGACTAATGAAATTAGGGGTGTAAAGAAAAAAGGGCCAGTAATATTATGAAGCCAAATACCCTGCAAGCTAGGGCATCTGACACAGGGTACCAACCACGTCTCAGGCATCATATTTAGTAATTATCCTACACATTCATTTAGTCTTTATAATGATCCTCTGAGCTAAAATAAAATTTAAAGTTTACAAAACATGTCATTTGTATGACACAACTAGAAAGTAACAAATCTAGGGCTTGAATCCAGGTCTGTCTAGCTTCAGAAACCAAGCTCTAGGAGGAGATGCTAAAGGCAAATAGAATACAAAGTAAGCAGTGAGGGGACAACTGGCCGAATTAGCTGCTGGTTGTTGACATTCCTTTACCCTCACCCAACAAGCCACTGCTGGGTCCTCTGCCATAGCCATAGCTCTTCCTTGGGAATGTACCCCACCTTACTCTCAGCCTCCACAGCCTGAGTGGGGCACTAACCTATTCTTGGAGTGAAGTATGTACCAGTCAGTCTGTGTCAATCAGCATGGTGCATTCCCTGGTCACAGCAGATGGTGTACATGTGATCAGAGAGCTTCTGATTCTTTCTTGCTAGACTTGAACCTGAATGGCACAAGTCTGGGGTCACTGCAGCTATTTCACCACCAAAGCCCAGATACGCCAGGAACATCCTTATGGAGCTCAAGATTGAATCCTACCCTAAGGTGGACAGAGCCCAGGGCCTAAGAGAGTAATTTAAAAAGATATTACTAGAGCCTTGAACTCAGCTGCTCGAAAGCCAGACCCATGTTAAACTTTTTAGTTACTTAAGACAATAAAATCCCTCTTTAAGATAAACTTGTCAGTATTTCCTGTCACCTCTAATCAAGCACAATGGTATTTGGCTAGTTGTGATGGTGTACACCTATAATCCCAGCACACAGGAGGCTGAGACAGGAGGATCCTCACAAATTTAAGGCTAGCCTAAGTTACATGGGGAATTCAGCCTAAAATGCATAGTAAGATTCTGTATCACAACAACAAGAACAAAATGCTGATATTTACCATCATTCATAAAGAAAGCATCTGCTTACATGACTAAGGACAGAAGGATCAAAGTGAGAAACACAGAAGAGGATAAAAGCTACTGCTGGTACTGCCCACTTACAGTGAGAGATAGTTCCAATGCACATTACCAGGCTGGAAGAGAGGAAAGATTTAGTCCTGCCTAACAAATCACTTTAAGTAACCAAATGTCTGAACATCTTATTCTGGAAAAACAGAACATAAGTTTGCATTTGCTAGGCTGACAATTTTCATCTCTCAAGAGGAGAGAAGGAAGGAAGAGGAAAATGGTAGTATGTCTTTATTTTCACTCAGAAGGTAGAACAAGCTCGCTCTTTCTTTCTTCCTTTCTTCCTTTCTTTGTTTCAAACAAAAGGAAACTTGGACAAATATGATCATGGGATTTTTAAGAGTTTTTTAAGGGAAAAATGTGAGTAAGATTCAAAAAGTTAGGTAAAATGTAATACCTTGAGACCTTAAAAGGAAATGAGTCTCTCCAGAATCAAAATTATAAGTAATAGGGGCCGGGGAGATGGCTCAGTGGAATAAGCGCTTCCCTGGCAAGCTCAAGGGCCTGAGTTCAATCCCGGTTCCACCAAAAATAAAAAATAAAAAATTGCAAGTAATTACACATTCTTCAGGCAGGTATAAGTTTAAAAAATAAAATCCAAATATTGGCTAGCAAATTATTCCTTTAGTCCTTGGCAGATGTCACTTATCAATCTTAGCACTCCTCCCTGTTAGGTAAAATTCCTTTACCTAGTACCATAGCCAGCCACAATGAGTGAGCAAAGTTAGGATATGTTACGGTTTAAATATGAGGTACTTGAGCTGGGGAGATAGCTCAATGGAATAAGTGCTTCCCTGGCAAGCACAAGGTCCTGAGTTCAATTCCTGGCACCACCAAAAAATAAAATAAAATAAATAAATATGAAGTATTTTCTCAAAGTCTCAAGCTTTAAGGGCTTAATTCACAATGTAGCAATGTTCAGAGGTAGGGGCCTAGAGCGGTGACTGGATTATGAAGATGCTAACTTCATCAGTGGATTAAGCCATTTAGCAAAATGAACTATTAGGAGGTATGGTGCAGTTAGAGGAAGAAGGCCACTGTGAGTGTACCTTTTTTTTTTTGGCGGAACCAGGGATTGAACTCAGGTCCTCGTGCTTTCCAGGGAAGTGCTTATTCCACTGAGCCATCTCCCTGGCCCATGAGTGTATCTTTGAAAGGTATACCTTGTCCCTAAGCCCTTCCTCTCTGTCTCTGCTTCCTGGATGCCACGAAGTGAGCAGTTCTGCTCCACAATGCCCTTTTCTCATGTTTCTATCTCATCACAGATTTAAAAGCAATACAACCAGCTGACAATGGACTGAATCTCTGAAATCATGTCAGTGACACTAAGTAGACACCAGAAGGTTACTGGGAAAGGATTTTAGATCATAGACATGATGGAAAAATTCAGGTTGGATTACAGGGGTAGAAGGCAGAGTCAAAACTGACCTAACACCTGTAGTTAAGAGTCACTCACTGAGAGTTGAGGGGATGACTGCTCGAGAAGTCCTTACTTTTGTCCTACTAAAGAGATTCATTTATTCATTCTTCTAATCTCTCATTCAATTATTGAACAGTCATCTGAGAGCTTACTGTACAACACATGTTATACGAAAGAAACAATGATGCTGCTTGTGGGAAGCCTAGAACACTGAAAAGTAGATGGAAGGAATAGGGCAGAGTGACAGATGCTTGGATTGAGGTGTTATTAAGGTCTGAAGGGAAGGGTCTGAACCTACCTGGCCTGTTGAAAGAGACTCACTGTCTAAAGCAATGGTCTGTCTGCCTCAAGAAAGAGGACATGAAGCTAGGAACAACTATGAGTACCAAAGATTACAGAAACATGCATCAGAAAAGGTCAATAAGCTAAACTACACCATGTGAAATCTAGACTTTGTACCCTTAGCTCACTGGACAATATGCCCTCAATTTTTTTTCTTCTCATCTTTTTGAGACAGTGTCTCACTCTATAGTTCAAGCTAGCCTTGAACTCACTTTGTAGCTCAGGCTGGCTTTCTCTTGCTTCAGCTTCCCAAGTGCTGGGATTATAGATACGTATCAACCACAACGGCTTGCCCTTAGTTTCAAGGCCTCACTGAAGGAACACTGTTAAAGTAGCCTCTATCTACATTAAGGAATCCAGATAGGGACAAATGAGGTATGTGACACCTAAATGCATACTCTGACCTTTTAAGAGGTCACCTGCTTTCTATGAGCCCCTTGGCTCCATTCATACTGCTGCTGGGTGTTTCTCAGGCAATGATCTACAAACAACAGACTCAGGAATCTCACAACTGCCAGGACATGATGAGGCACACCTTCTGCTGGCAAGATCTTTCTTCCCTGCCATGCTCCTTTCTATCTCAAAGTTGTCCTTTCCTTCTACCCAAGAGAAAACAACAACAAAAAACCAAGTTTGTCCTATACAGTTGGGCTACCCCTCTGGACCTTAATGTCTCTGTATTTGTGAACAAACAGGACTAGACAGTGTCTAGAGGAGCTTCTAGCTGCGGCGAAAAAGCATTAGTCAGTTGTGCCTTCTCTTGCTGAAAGTGCTCCTAATTAAAAAGTACTGAAAACAGAGGGCAAGGCTTACTACCAGTGGGTGAATGATAGAAGGCAAGGCACCAAAGGATTCATTCAGGACCCCCAATAGGACTGACCTCTTCAGTGATGATCGAGACAGCACCTGTGCAGCCTGGTTCATGGCCCTCACCCAAGCGTTCATGTCCTCCAGGGTGTCCGCACTGAAGTAGTAGGTCCTCATGCCTGACTGCTCAGCCTGGGAGCCTGCCATGGAGCTGTTGTAGATGAGCGCCCGCATCCCTGTGTGCACGGCCTGTGAGTGAGAAAGCCAGGACAGAGGTCAGCACACATTTCTTTTCTGGAAACATGAACAAGGCACAGTGCTCTTCCCCTGCTAAACTAAAACCCCTAAACCTGCCAACTTTTCTCCAAATCTAAAAAAACATGATGGGCATGATTTCATTTTTCTGTAGATAGGCCCAATGACAGCTGTGTCTCTTACTCCTATTTAGGGCAGGGTATAGAGGCAAGGCTTTGATAGGAAACAGACTTTTTGTGTGTACGGTGCTGGGAATCAAATCCAGGGCCCTGCATGCTGGGCAAACACTACCACTGAGCTATAGCACCAGCAGAACAACTTTAAAAAAAAACACTCATTCTGTAGAAGCAGACACTTGGGAATTTGGTTCTTCTGAAGCATGCAATTCTTGCTTTGGCTAAAATCAGATGAGAATTTAGTCAAAATCCACTGCAACAGCATGTGGCTTAGTATAAGTGTTCACTGTGCTTCAACTTCTTAGCATGAAATGTAATGTGTGTCCATCAAATAGGTTGCTGCGCTGTCTCTCTAAAACATACTAGTGAGGAGGACAGAGCTCACCAAACCTACTAGGTGCCTCCACCTCGCTGTGAGTGTACATGTGTCCTCATAAAGCACTTTGGAAGAGGTTTGGCCGGGGGGGAGGGGGATGAAACATGACTGAGATGGTTTCCAAAGCAGAGTCTCCCTATGACTTTTATTTTTTTTCCATAATTTTATTGAGAAATAAATAGCAATGAGACAGTTTCAAATCAAACTGGTAGGACAGTTCCAATAATTAACACATTGCATACTCTCGTCCTTGTGGTTATTTGTTGTACAAGACACAGACATGATATCCTATTTACAAACATCATTAGAACAAATGCCTCTGTTCCTTGAATTAAGAGAATGTAACTATATATCTATCCTAACCATTTTGAATACACATACAAAATGGTCATTCATCTATATCCCTTTTGTTTAGTTCCATCATTTAAATGTTATAAGTGTGTGAACTCAGTAAAATATTCCAAAATAGTCCAGTAGTCAATAATAGTATTGGGTCTTCCACTTGACTGGCAATGTCAGAAGTTGTTGACCTGACTCCCCTGCAGCTCAACATAACATGGCTTTATTTCTTGTACTTCGTTTTTATACTTTTCTGCTGGATGGTTAAGACCAAGATAAAGCAAGACCTATGTAACAAGAACTGTAGCTTTTGAATCTGATAAGGTCAGTGAAATCCCCTCAGGATTTATCCTGAGACCCTGTACCTCAGATTGCACAACCTTTGTCAGTGTCAGCCATGTGCATGAGTCACGACCATTGCTTGGCCAATGTGCTCTCTGTGAAAGCCTGAGAGAATATTTTCTCTCCGTATGACTCTCCTTACGCACACTCTACATCATCGATCACTTTCCTCTTTGACCCCATAATCTCCTTGATCAGAAAATTTGGGACACAACTGAGTTACATGATGTTACAGTACAAGTTCTCATATGTCCTGAGTCTTAACTGACCTTGGAAGGCTAGGGCCAAAATTTTGGCTTTCCTTGCGGCCCTTCTTTTTCTCTAATTTTTGGCCTGCAAACTTAGGTTGTTAACCCTCCAGAAGAGAATCGGTATGACTTTTAAATTTGTAAGAAAAAAAGTTCACTCAAGCTACACAGGAAGATGGTGTAGAAATAGGAAGATTTACAGGGTGACCAGGACATTCAAATGTGTCTATCTGAGTACAGATAAAGCAAAACTTCAATCTGATTTTAATGTCAACGCCTTTAAAATGTAGGGAAAGAATCTCTGCTTGACGGATGTTGCTAACGAAGCTCTGAGATATGAAATGACTTTCCAAGATACTCACATAAGTAACAGATCCTTCTCGCCATTTACTACTGATACTATTTATTTTATGCACTTGCTTATCACCTATTTATCATCTCTCTTCTCCCTCTAGAATAGAAGTTCCATGAGAGGAGGAGGCTTTCTATCTTGTTCACTACTATTTCCCACCAACAGTTCATTGCACATAGTAGGTAGGCACTCCATAAATTTTGCTGAATGAATGAAAAATTATAGATTTACAGTCTGATTCCAAGTTTAAGCTTCTCTGTAAAATGCTTTACGCAGGTACTATCCAGAACTATGGGCAAATATACACCGATCCTATAATCTGGATCCATGATAAAAGGCAGATCCCACCAAGACCAGCCAGAGAAAACAAATGAGAACAAATAAAAAGCTGGAAAATGGCAGGCTTTTAGAATGAATGGAAGGAAATGTCTGAGGTGAAACTTCACTATTTACTTCTGCCTCTTCTCCTGGCATCCAGGTCTAGAATGCCTATCAGACACAGGGCTGCTTCAGGCATCTACATGCCTGAGTTCATCCAGTTCAGGGTCAAAGAAGTCTGGGCAAACAGAGCCTGCAGCCAAGACTGGCCAAAAGAAATCTCATATCCTTCCTTTACACATCTCACATATTGACTATAGTCCCAGAAGTACTCCCCTGTTTGGTGAGTTGCAACATCTTATTGATGCTGTGAGAAGAAGTGAATAAGAAGAAACTTGTGCAGGTTTTGCTGTGATTCAACAGAAATTCTTGGAAAAGTTCCCTAAGCAATGTCCTCATAAGATGTTAGACATACACTCCCAGCACTTCCTGCGCAGCCAAAGAGGGTCTGAACAGGCACACTAAAGAGTTGTTGTACCCAGAGGTACAATGACTCATGGAGCTAGCTTTGTCCAGAAATCAACTTAGAACACACTTCAAGCATACAGGCATGAGCTCCACACCTGTCTTCAAATAGGCCTTGGGAATCACAGCCACCATTACAGAGGAGTCATGCACGGTTGTAACTACAACTGTGTTCACTAACCCAACTACCAACAGGTATGTGCAGTTGCTCTGGACTCTGAAGACCAGGTTCTCAGGTGCATTCTGACTGTGCTGGGGCAGATATGCAGACTGTGAAGACAAAAGGTCCAGGGAGCTTCCTTTCTATCTGGCCAGAGGACCCAAGCTCAAAGTGCCGCAAGTATGAGGGTCCAGATTATGTGAAGTCTTCTTACTTCTGCCTTTATGTCATCTTGGAGATAGTTCCTCTCTACTCTTTGCTTCTCAGTTAACACAATCCCACTAGACAAATATATGACTGAATAGAAACCAAGATACACTTAAAGAAATGACACAAGGTCAGCAAGATAGCTTAGTGAACTAAGTGCCTGCTTAGGCAAGTGTAGAGACTGGGGTTCGATGCCTGTTACCATATACTGCCACCCCTCCACACACATGCTGAGCCAGCCACCAAGACTGGAAACCAAGTGTGGTGGCACACGCCTGTAATCCCAGCACTGAGGAGGCTGAAAACAGGAGGATCAGTATAAGTCCAAGCTGCATAGTAACACCCTGTACCAAATATATATATATATGGAAAAGAAATGCTGTGAGCAAGAAAGCGTTTATCTCAAAACACAGTGCCCCTACAACTACAGCTATGCTATGCCGGTTGTTAGATGATGGGTCTAGACATAGCACTAGTAAAGGGAACCAGAATCCTCCTGCCCACCAATACCCTTCCCCACTGTCAGACTTTAGAACAGAAAACCAGGTGGGGAATACAGGGATACCAACGAGGTCAGGGCCACCAGCTGACTGAGGCTTGAAGGGCTAGATCTCTAGAGCCTTGCAGCTGTTTGTGGAGCAGACTCTGCTCTCAGAATCTGAGGACCCCAAACACATGGCACATTCTGACAGGTCTAGTACATCTTCTTGATAAATTCTTTCTAAGGAAAACTCAGGGGATATGAATCTAAAATAAATAAAAGATTTTCCTAGAATCTATTTTCACACTTCCCAATGAAGTGTTAAGATGAAATATGTACAGACAGAAACAAATTACTTTGAGGATATTACAGATGCTGTCTCCCTAGTCACATGCAACATTGTTAGCCAAATTTCTTGTTCAATAGTAATGCTCAAGTGCCAAGAACAAAAGGGTTTTCTGAGTAATTCTTTCAGGGTATAAGAGCCAAACCTGAAACCATTTAAAAATTATCTTAGTGAGACTCTCAAATGATATAGTAAGTAGTCATTTATTCACATCACCCCATCCTCCCGCAGTATTCAGGAAGTGATAGAGATAAGACATGGGAGAAAAAGTAAAAAGGAAGAGAAGGAAGCCCCCCTGCCCTAAAATTGAAAGAGGACAGAATTCAGGGCCAAGTTCTGCCTCTATCACCTTCTAGCTTTGTGACTTGGGACAAGTTTCCTAAGCTTTCAGAACCACACATCCTTAATCTCTAAAATGAAGGCAATTAATACTGACTTCACAGGCTCTTGGGAACATTAAATATGGTAAGAGGTATAAAAGCACTTGGTTTTATAGACAGAAGACAATATTGTTCTATGCACCATGACACTGGGAGGTGCCTAGAGGGGAAGAAAGGACTAGCTCAAGCCTGCGGGTGAGCAAAGCAGAAGCATCAGCTGGTGCTCCCGCGATAAGGAAAAGGAGCAGGAAGAGAAATCGACTTTCCAAGCTTCACAACTACCAGAGACTCCAGATCAGGAACCTGGAACAGATGACCATTTTGGAAAACCCTCTCAGACTGAGGACCAACTGCTAATGCCAAGGTCACTACATGCCAACACTCTCTTTCAATCCTTCTAAAGAACAGTTTGTATTTTCTGCAAGGTTATTTCTGGAAAGGGTGAGTTCTGCATAATCTCTGTTGTAGTACTGACTGTATAGTGCTCATCTTGCACCCCCAACATGGGACAATTAAGCAACAAGTGTAGCAGAGACAGAAGTCCCTATCCAGCCAGAAGTATACCAACCACCACATACCTTTAGTGGCCTCAGAGGACTGTACCTTGAGGATAATGGAATTAAAGCTGCAGTGCTCTCTAAGATTTACGTTTCAACTATCAAGAAAACAAATCTTTTTTTTTTTAATATTTATTTATGTATGTATTTATTTATTTATTTATTTATTTTGTGTGTGTGTGGCCAGCTCAGCCCACCAGGGGGCGGGGCGGGCTGGCATGTGGTGCTGGGGGATTGAACCGCGGTCCCTGTGCTTTGCTTTGCTTAGCTTAGTTTGTTCTAAGTAGGTGCTTTAGACCACTGAGCCATCTCACCAGCCCCAAGAAAACAAATCTTAAGTCTGTCATACACCATCCTTCGGGGACCCAAGAAACACCAGTAGTTAGGGAATATTGGGAGGACACCGATGGAGAAAGAAGGCCTTGGGACTCCTCAAGTCTAGGCCTAACTACTACCTTCTTATGCCCTCCACACAGGTGCCAGAGGGCATCACAAGATCCATGGCCTTCCAAGGACCACAGCCCCAATTGCTCCAAATGGCCCAGCTATTAAATAGAAAAGGGGTTCTGCTTGGGGACCTTCCATAATCTGGAAAAAAGTAACTTCATCCTAATTATTTTTCAAAAAGATAAAGTAGGCAAACCTGATGAACTCTTCAACATACACAACCTTAGTCCTCAACATGAGTTTTCACAGTGCAATTAACCCTTTTGTTGTGAGATCATCAGCTGCACCACCTGGACACTAGTTAGACTGGCTGACTGTGGTAAGAAGAAAGTGTGAAAAGGGCTGTATACGACACAGAATTCTAAGACGAGCAGCCATAGGGAAAGGGGAGTCTAAAAGTTTGAACAGACAGGGGGACTCGAAAGCTCAGCTTCACATGGGAGTACAGGTGACATCATAACGTTCTTGTCTAAATAATTTTATATGTTGGTTCTATGTCTGACAGTCTCTCCTAGCAAACTTCCTTTCTCTCCCCGCAAAAGCAATTTCTTTCCTGAAGACATTTTTGAGCACAACTGTTAGGATGGAACTGATGAATCAGCGAAGGGTAGCACCTTAAAGGAGTACTTGCGACTTATTCGATCTTCAGGGGCCACGGGCGAGATCACATAGCTGGGCAGAGGTATGCTTCCCAGGACCACTTCTTCTCGGCTGTCTTGAATGGAAAAACACATCAGAACAACTTTTAGGGCACCTTTTCTGGGCACCCTACTTAGGGTTTTTTCTGTCTTTCAAGAGCTACAGCCATCTCCATTTTCCAAGTCTCATAGGTGCTCCCTGTGCATGGATGTGCAGAGTGGGAACACACAGGTGAGCTAGACGTGGTGCTCTCCCTGACAGCATGTGAACGGAGAGAGTCATGTAAATACATCCAATTCAACCTAGTTCCTGGGAAAGGGCAGTGTGCCAAGTGTAAGCGGGTACACGGTTTGGAAAAGTCACAGTTTGGAAGGAGTTTTATGTTTGCTCAAGGATGGAAAAGAGTATTCTAGGCAAAGTGTGAAGCTCACATGCAAACAATCTTCCCACTTCTATTCTCCCCTTCCTTCAAACCTCTTCTCTACCCAGTGGTCTCTTACTTCCTAATGACAGGGTTGGTCTTGTTGCTTTTCAACTCAAAGGCACTTGCTGACTCCCCACTGGACACAAAACAAAGCCTTAATTACCCCCTGCCTATCTGTGACAGCCCTTTGGTCTTGGCCCTAATCCATCCCCTGAGCTGTATCTCAGGATACCTCAGGAGTTTTATCTTAGCATTCTGTCTGTCACTCTGTCTTCTTCTGAATCTGAGACTTTCCCAAGTTGTGTCTTTTCCCTGTAATGCCCATCTCTACCAACATGGGCAAACCTCTACCAATCCTTAAAAGTCCAACTAAAATCCTATCTCTTCTAAGACTTCTTAGATTCTAATAGAGAACTTTCTCCTCAGTCTCCCAAATAGAATCGCCTATGGATTTTGGAAGTCTTGGAAGAGACCCTAAATAAGAGGTAAAGTGGATTCTATTCACTTGAAATCAATAGCTTGGCCTTTCAGTGTCAAGATTGGTAAAACTGAAGTCACCATACAAAAATAAACACACATACAAAAATAAACACATGTAAAAAATACTTGGCCAAGTAATGGGCTCCTAATTAAGTCAGGCTATTGGTCCAACTACTAGATTTAAGAAGTCATTATTTGCAACTCCTCACCATGCTCTGGCAGAAGGAGCCCTTGGTGGCCTGAGCCTTCAGCTCACCTTTATAGTAAAATAAGCAGTAATCAGCAAGAACAAACCACCTCCTTTTCCACAGTCTCATCCCGGAACTGTCCTACAAAACAAAGCAAAGCAGTTAGGGAATATCTGAACATCCTTTTTCCTTCCAGTAATATACAACCTGATTCTAGAAGCAAGACTTGCCTACATTCATATTTTCTCTTAAGAAATTAATGAATGTTTAGCTGAACAGCTATTCTTTGGATGGCACATTACATTTAGACTCAACAATAGCTTATTACTGGTAGTTGGCTTTTTGGTCTCCTGGAAATGAATTTTTATAATCTACCTTCTAGAAAGAAAAGCATGAAATAAAAAACATGTCTCCTATTATTAAATGAATCTATTTAAATAAAGTTTTGTTTTGTTTTAGGTGCCATGCTATAAAATATCTTTCTTTATGTTGATTAGAAAACTGAATTTACATAATATTGAATAGAGTGTAAGTTAGCTAATTAACTGAAGCAAAGCTCTCATTTAACTAGGCTCATTTCTCTCCCATAAGGGTCTGATTTTGTTGTTGTTTTCCTTCCATTCAATGTAAAGAGATTTGGATTCACTTTGCTATCAAATTTTCTTATGAGTCAGTCTTTAATCATCTAAAATGTAAGCCTTTACATTTAATAAAGAGCATTTTAAATAATCATGAAAATTAAAAAACATGGTTCAAGATAGAAAAACAGCAATGTTATAATAGTCATTTTCTAAAGCCTAAGAAAGCTTCAGAGATGCTTTTAGCTCAGAGCTGTTAAAATCTCTTGCTTATACAGAAGGTTTTGATAGGCTTGAATTAAGACAAAACAACCTTGATAATTTCTAAATCTACACACAAAAACTTTGTTCACCCTCCACTCATTAAACTGCTAAAAAATATTTAACCTGATGGTGACTTCTACTTATCACTTTTATCCTCTGTCAATCAACTGGATTTCTAAGGTCTCAGTACACATCATCGGCTCCTTTCTTAATGGCAGCCCACTTACCCATCCCTCCACAGTGGTTCACATCACTTCCCCTGAGAAATACTTCTAGGCTCCTCAGACTCAGCTGTGCCCTACTAGGTGTCCACAGTGCTCAACACAGACCTATTCTGGCTACAGGAGAGCCAAAGACTTGGCAAGGGGATTGGCGCAGGAAAAGTTATTTATGGTCTCTTCCCTTTTCTGCCATGTATCCAAGGTGCACACTTTGTTGAAAGGAGGCAGGAATGTATATGCAAAAAAATCAGAGGGCTAAATTATTCAAATAAGAACAGAGCTAAGAGGGAAGAGGAGGGCAACTAGAGAAGGTGGAGCTTGAGGTAGGTCTGTTAGAAGAGGCTGAATGAGGTGGGAATGGTCTTGGGGAACAGAACTGTGAAAGCAGATTTTATGAGGGCTTTGAGTGATTCTTTCCTCGTGATATGTGACATGACTTTCCTAAGGTGAACAACAGGTAGCTTTAGGAGGATGCTACTATACAGTAGGTGACACACTGGCCTGGGTGATGATGTGACATGAAGTATATGCTACTTTCCCTAGTAGACAATGAGATCCTTGAAGGCAAGAACGGATTGTTACTCATCCCTTTAATCCCAATGGGAGAGTGCTCAAAACATAGTAGGCACTTGGGGAATGATGGATGGATGGATGGATGGATGGATGGATGGATGGATGGCAAAATAAGAAGGAAGGTGACAAAAGAGACATGGTCTCTGGCCCTGGAAATTCAGAGTTCACCATGTCCAGACAACCAAAGACAGATGAATTGGGGGTGGGGAAGGACATGAAGGATGATTTCAGGGGAGACAGAACTGCCACAGCTTGTAGACTAAATGGAGAGGGGAGGATAAGCAGGTAATGGTGCTGAGATCTCTAACCTGCACACCTGGAAGAGAGGCAATGGTATCACATTGCTAAGATCCAGAAGAAGCAGGCTAGGAAAAGCAAGAGGTAAGGGAGCAGGAGACAATGAGCTAAGTATGGCTGATTTACATGGAATATGAGGTGATAAGGAGCAAAAAATATGCCAGACAAGGAGGAGAGGAAAAGATAGGACTCTTTAGCCAAACAACAACAAAGACTTTAACATCAGAAGGACAGGTGCTGGGAGAGGGCTGGCAGCCTGGATTCAGGCTGACCCAATCACACTAGGGTCTGGACTCTACAGCAGTCAAGGCCAGCAGAAGCCAAAGTTGTCAAGTGAGTTCGGGGAGAGAAACTGTAACCCTTGGAGAAAGAAGCTCAGTCCGGTCATCAGAATGCACTTGCTCCAGACAGACTCAAAACCAGAAAGCTTCTGTGCTTGTCCCCAGTGTCCTGAGGCCGGAGAAGGGAAAGAACCCGGCAGGTACCTCACCCTATGCTCCCCCTCAGCCTCCTCACCTGCTTGTGCAACCAGCCCCTCACCACCACTGGCACATTGGGGTTCCTCCGAATGGCTTGATCCCTCTTTCCAAAACTATGTACTTTATTGCTGGACTTGATGATCTAGGAAAAAGCAGAATGAAAGTCTAGTAGCTGAGGGTTTTGGGAGGCACAAAAAAGCACTCGGCTATTAGGAGGGCTGTCGGCTTTCTCTGCCTTACTCAAAGTGGCAGCACCCTTTGATCAGAACAATGCTGAGACAGAACAGGCAAGCACATGGCCACAACATTTAATTAAAAAGCTGGCCCGAGACCTGGCAAAGTTCCCAGCTGGGTTAAAAGAAATTTGAAGGGATTTTTTTCAATCAACTGTCACCAGCAGCTGTTAGCTCTAATTTGTCCTGTGGCTTTCTGGAGCAAAGCTAGTTTTTGGACACAGATTTTACAATCTCCTGATATTTGCACCACCTACCTAGGTTTACCCCTCAGCACTCTCTTGCTTTCTGTAATTCTGGCTCTTTTCCTTGCTCCTCCAGTCAGTGTCCCACACCCCAAGCACAGAAACTTTTGGGCTCTTCCTAACAACACCCTCCCTCAGGCCCATCAGATACCAAATCCTTCCTGGTTCTCTCTAACACACATCCCATGTAAACAGAAGTGTGGCCTTCTCAACACATACCAGGAAAGAGAGATGCGCACAAAGACCCAATCTCACTCCTGGTCTGTTGGTGATCACCTGTTTTCTAGGATAAGAGACAAAACTCTTCTTGATCTTAATTTTCTGACCGGTCTTTTGAGGAAAAAACTTCTCATGGTTCTTTCTCACAAAAACTATGGTGATGATCAAGTGGGCTTCTGGCTAAAGGGGGACCTGGAAAAATACAAAAGGCAAAGCTAATGGCTAGGAGCTCACCTTGGGTCCAGGCTTGGCCTCCAAGGTGGACGTAGTCCCAGCTGTGGATGATTCACTGACCATGCTGGACGGTCTTTGGTTTCTCTCTTGCTTCGACATATGTGGGTTTGGCCTGAGGGAAGAGGTAGTGGCATTCAGAGTAAATGACAAGTTACACAGTGCAAAGTAGAAGTTTAGATTTACTCTAGACTGGAAAGGGTGGCTTGGCCTTAGAACAACCCAAACCAATCTTTGGAAGACTATCTGATTCCAGATGGCAGAAACAGGGACACAATGTCTAGCCTGTCCTGGTGCTCTAAGGAGTCAAGAGGATGACACATAAATCTCCAAAAAGACAGACTGTCATCTCTGTCTGCTATCCTTAGGTTCCCACACTTACTCTTCTACTCAAGTGGCTATGACAGATGCCCCATCCAGTGGGCATACATCACTCTTTGCAGAAGGCAAGAGCAATCTGTGTACACACACACACACACACACACACACACACACACCTTCTACTTCCCCAGATCCCAAAAGAAGCTGTTTTTAATAAGACATCACTTGCACACATATCTACACCCTCACATACATACAGAGAATGCTTACGTAAACACCAGTGAGGCTTGCCTCCAAAAATAGATTACTCAACAAAGAGTCCTATTCTGAGAACACTACGTTTTGCCCAAAAATAGACATAATGATAATATTAACCCCTTGTGCCATGCCTGGAGAAGAGAGAGAGATAAAGTAAGCCTCAGGTTCCAAGGAGGATCCTGGTGCTTCCCCATCTGCATCCCTGCAACACAGCCCTTACTGCTGGAAAGCTGTCCCAGGAGGGCCAGCACTCTGGGAACATCTCAACATGACACTCAAGAGAAACTAAAGAAAGGGCCAGCCAGATAGCTCAGCAGATTAAAGCACCTGCTTAGGCAGAGCACAGGGACCAGGGTTTGATCCCTGGTATGCTGAGCCAGTCTCACCCCTGGAGTGTGCTGAGATGGCGATTAAGACTGGGCATGGTAGTGCATACCTGTAATCCCAGCACTTGGGAGGGTAAAAACAGGAGG